ATCGTTTGGTCTGAAAAATAAATGTTTGGAAACATTTTGTCCTCTGCTGCCCATTGCGATCCTGTAAATCGTTACCTTTGATATAGATACTTAGTTGCTTGTTGTGAGTGAGCTCAGACAAGTTTTGAATGATACGATCTGTTTTACGTACCATTGCAATTCGGATTTCATGATAGCGAGGGCAGTTCAGTACAAAGTGATTAGGGTCTTCAGATGGATAGCCACATAAGTAAGAGGGAATAGGTGTAGTTGGATTTTGAATTTTGAACAGGTGGGCATCCAGGTCTGACTTTCCCAACCTCAGCCCAGTATTTAGGATGGTGCCATGCCTGGATCCAAAGCTGTGATACACCGGAGGCGTGGCCACACCGCAGCGCTGGTATATTTCCCATTTGAAGGAATGAGAAGACTGGAGAGATGACGCCTCAAGCGAGAGCTAGTTTCATCTTCTCGTAGTTGATGGATTATATGATCTTTGGTATGTTGAGATTCTGTTCGGTGGTAATGTGAGTGTCATTGCATTGCGTAGTGGGCGTCCTGTTGCAAGTGCTCGTGTGTCAGGTAGAAGTGCAGTGACGTTTGTTGGCAGCCAATGTTGGCTGTGTATGAGGTTGTGGAACAGCGTCATTTCGTGCACGTTTCTTCGTGACTTGAGTGTTCCATCCCAAATCGTCCAACAGTGCGCGAGTACATGCTCTGTAGAGTGCACCGGTGATTAGTCTTGCTGCTCTGTACCGTAATCTTTCAAGTCTAAGGGAGTCGCTGGTTGTCAGAAATCCGTCGTATATTACGTCACAATAATCAAACAAAGGAAGAATGCAAGCCGTATATACGTCGTTGAGGACATGCCGAGACAGAAGTCGCCCGAGTGAGTAGAGAGGTCCAATAGCTCTACTGATTTTGGAGGTGGTATCATTAACGTGATGAAATATAGTACATATACAAATATAGTACAGTATACATAACTGACGAAAGTGCAAATCAGTAGATATTGTCAGGCCGAGGCGTTTGTGGCTTGTAACGGAAGGAATTCGTTGGCCATTAAATGCCAGCTGTGGTGGGTTATGTGTGTTTCTGTTGGTGAATGTTTGTTGAACGTTTTCGTGGCGTTGAGCGTGATGAGCCAATCTTTGCCGAATTCTTGAATGATATGTAAGTCGTGTTGGAGTGCCGCTGGTACGGTAAATGGGCCGTGTGAGTGAGCTGTGTATAGCGTAGCATCGTCGGCAAAGAACAATATGTCATTATCAGTCTTGTCGGCTAGGTCGTTAATAGATTTAGGCTGGTATATATATATATATATATATATATATATATATATATATATATATATATATATATACATGCATATATATATATATATATATATATATATATATATAACTGAAAGCTGATAGCCCGCCAACGCCAGCCTGACTGACAGCCATCCAGCGCCAGCCTAACTGATAATCAGCGCCAGCCTGACTGATAGGCGGTCAGCGCCAGCATAACTGATAGTCAGCGCCAGCCTGACTGATAGCCAGCCAGCGCCAGCATAACTGATAGCCAGCGCCAGCCTGACTGATAGCCAGCGCCAGCCTGACTGATAGCCAGCGCTAGCCTGACTGACAGCCAGCCAGCGCCAGCCTAACTGATAGCCAGTCAACACCAGCCCGCCTAAACCGATATCCGGACATATTTTGACTTGTGCTGATCTGCACATGTACTGTGAAGAGAACGTCATCACACTCTTTCACACTACTTCCACTGAAGTGTTGAAGATGGATTGTTGACTTAAGGAGAGGTTTGTTGAATCGGACCAATGAAGGCACTTGAGGTACCATGACTTCCTCCCCTTGGACGATTGTGGTGCACATCTGTTGGCTGCATGTCAGAGGACAAAGACTGTCAGATAAATGTGAGGAAATGAGTTAGGAATGATACAGAGGCGGGTAAGCAAGCGCATATTTGCAGTGTTCTTTTCCAGCAGTTTTTTCACATGAACGTGGGATCCTGCACATCTTGTGACATTGGAGCTTGCACGCCATGCAGGCGGATCTGATATGCGTTTCTTAGTACTTGGCGCTGGGAGCATGAGTTGTCTGTTAGACTTCATGCATCCATCAATAGAGCTATTTCGAATGGCTAAAAACTGGAATGTCTTATTTCGGGATGAGGCCTTGGACCATTGTGAGGATTGAGGCGTTACTGATCCTTCCCACGCTACAGAAGGTTAATGTCAGATTACATGGGTTGACAGGTTTGTCTGTTCATTGGACACTACAATTTATGTTTCATGCAATGCCCTTCTGCTCCTACTTTCGGTCTTCCTGCAACTAAAGCACACTACGGTCAAAAGCAGCGCAATGGACTCATTTTGGCCCAAACATGCCCACTACCACGCTTGATTTGAGGTCAAAGGAGATGTGCACACACTGTCCTCATGGATTGGTTGTCAAAAAACACAATAAGGCTTATCTTGGGAGACTAAATACCCACTTTTGGAGCGGTTAACGCTCATTACACAACTTTGACCAGAGGTTACCGGGTCATTTTATGAAATCGTGACCCAAGGTAACAAAAACTCCGGATTCGTATTTGTTGCTTTGTGGAGAGTCCGAGAATATAGTGTCATGAGTTGAAATTTGCTAACAAAAATATTCACTTGAAGCGACTCTTGCCCGCAGGTGACGTCCAGTTTGCATCAGGTTCAACTAATGACCTCTTGATCTGATGAACTTCGACGCAGTCGGAATCGGCTTCAGCGCTGAAGATATTCCTTCACCACGATTTTGGGCAGAAGTCGTGATTTGAGGGGTTACCTCACCTGACCATTGCCTGGCCAAGGGAAGGACGACCTCCCAGAAAATTGCGCTTTTTTGATATCTTGTCATTTAGTTTTCAAATTTGACTTTTGTCTTTTGACTTCTTGATCTTTGACTTAAAGTCCGCTTGCCGGTTTTAATGGAGCGTAATCGGACCATAACAAGGGGTTAGGCAGCGCAACGTTAAGGTCGGACGTAGCTTTAAACAATGCTAGTCTTTCAAACCTTGGACCCGGATGCCGTCGACTCCTTTGCCGGAAAATGAACACACATACACCGCTTTGAGACTCAACGGACGACGCCCTTTTGGACGACTTGATCAAACAACTCACCAGGAGAGAGGGGACATTCGCCCAACGTAGCCAGTGGAGGGCGTTGAAAATGCCACAAGGCCCGTAACGTAGATTATATGCAGCCGTAACGCATATCACGATCAGACTATACCATTCTGAACAGAACATGCAATTCATTGCACATCCTCGGAATGTATTGCCCTAAGCCATAATTTGATGACCGTGCCCAAGGTGTTCTGGCATGCATGGCGCATGCAGTTACATAGCGTGGTAACCGTGCCGACCGCGAACCTCCGCCTTTCCACTTTGAATGAAAGTAAAACATTGATCCCTTGGTGGAGCATGAAAAGGAATCGACAAAGAAACGTTGAATTGCGCCTGTATATAATTGCTTGGAGCAAATTAGAGAAAGCACCTACATATCCGTTGTTTCGAAGGAACAAGTAGACGGATGGGTGTACACAAAGTGCAGCGGGCGGCAGCGGGCAGCAGCAGCAACCATGACCATACGAGCATAGGGCCGAACGGGCATGACGGGCGTGACTTACTGGTGGAGGCCTCTAGTGTCCACGCAACCTCGGTCTTTCGTTTATGGGTTTCTTGGTGCCCTAGGGATTTCCAAAGGCGTGTACTTGAGGCGCCTGCTAGCCTTAGAGCCGGTTCAAGTGCATAGTTTACCAGACATTCTCGGGGCTCCCGGGGCTTTGACTGTCTTGCTCTCCGTGGGACAAACGCATTGCCCAGTGCATCCGTTCGTCTGCTGCAGCCCGCCCGGCCGACGTGGCCGTCTCGACTGCTCGGCATCCGCCCGCCGTGTACAGAGGTTAAACACCGGCGCCAGGCCGCACTCGTAGATGCATAATTCGTCACCACATTAGTGATTAGCGCGCTTGCAGCGCCTGCAGCCGTGTCGCCGGCCGGGCGCCGCCGTCGGTCCGGGCGGCCGTGCCGGCGCTCTGATATATCCGCCCTTTGATCGGACCGTCGGCAGCGGGGGCCGCCGCCGAGCATTTGGCGTAATGAGAAGTGACTCTGACACCAGAGCGCTGCCGCTGACAGCCTGCAGCGGTCGCCGCCGGCCTGCGGCGCCGGCGGTCAACCGGACGCGTCGCGCCGCGCCGCCGCCCCAGCCTAATTACATGTTGTCTGTTTTACTTTCATAAAACGACGGCGCGGATCAAATCATCAATTTGGCAAATGAAACAATCAAACTAATAGCGCTGGTAATAACACTAATCGCCGTCGCGTCGCGTTGCTATTGATTTGCGAGTGGCATGGGAGTGACAATGCTAATTTCGGACGGCGCACTTTCTGCGGCGGCGGCGGCCGTTTGTACCTCGCAGCGTCGCCCCCGCGCGGGCTGACTCGCTCCGACCCTGATCGACGAGGACGGGGCGCAGCGGCAGCCGACACAATTGACACCCTCTATTTACAAGTCCCGTCCCCATCCCCCGCCTGATCGACCGTGTGAGTGGATGAGCATTTGGAGACACGTGTGTTCCGTGGAGGGCAATGAGCGCGACCGCAGGCATTCGGCGGCGTCAGCGCCGCGGCAGCCGGCTTGGCGTCTCTCTTGAGACAATTTGGAGACTGAGCCCACGACTCTTCTCCGGAGATCGCGTTTCCCCAGGCTGACGCTCCGGCGTGCAGGTAGTCCCCGCCGCTGCGCCTGCTCCGAGTGCAGGTAGTCTCCGCCGCTGCGCCTGCTCCGAGTGCAGGTAGTCTCCGCCGCTGCGCCTGCTCCGAGTGCAGGTAGTCTCCGCCGCTGCGCCTGCTCCGAGTGGCGCTCGGCATGGGCGGACAGCTACTCGTCAACTTCAACAGACCCGTTACAAATTCAGGCATCCGCACAAGCATGCCCCGTTAGCGGAATGAGAACAGCTCACATCTTCGTAAGCGTTCACAATGGCCGCATTGTTTATTACTGTTCTGAAACAATTTAGGGATACTGATGTCCACACATTTATTTAAGTGGGCCTTACTAATACTGCCGTACAACCCGCGTCAAATACATCAACAAGAATGTCATCAACAAACGCAGGTGGTTCTCTGTGCTGAGGAGTCTCGGATACAGTTGCCGTTCAGTGGTCGCCAGAGATTCGGGATTGTACGAATAGCCTGCACTACTAAAACGTCACACATTATACAAAGCAAAACAGCGAAGCAAAACATCCTCTTGATGGCACTCGCGTTTCAGATCCCAGCTGTTTTAAAATGCCGCACGTTACACTAATTGTCATGAAATGAATGTGGCCTGTGCAAACTGCAGTCTCTAATTGCCCTTCGCCTTGCAGCCACGTGCTAAATTCACCATAAGCTCCCGCCACAGAAGTGGCTGACAAGCTCCAAAACAAGCGGAAACCCCACAAAACGCTGGAGCAGTGGCAAGCGCGACGTCAGGTCCCGGGGAACACCGAGCACACCAAGCGGGCGCACTCGAACACACACACGCACACACCCGAGCGCGAGCACAATGTAAACAACACACTGATAAACGTGGAGCCCAGGTGCTCACACAGCGACCACCCGCAAAAACCTCGGAATGTAGCCGTTACTTGGTGGAATGTTCTGAGGCCTGGGGCCATCCTTATTGCTCTCTCTCTCTCTCCCTCCGTGCTGGGGCCAGCTGGGGCTGTGCGATCCTTGCAGGGATTCGCGCATCAGCGGTCAGCCCGGGCCCAGATCAAGAGAGGCGCGCGTGTTGCGATTGAGCGACTCCCGCCGGTGGGGAAGATAAGTGGGGTCCCCTCACGTCGAGGTCAGATGGGTGCACGCCACATGTGCGCCCGGCTGGACTGGCGCATGTACCGCCCCAAAGCCTTTGTCTTGGTTAAAAATAACCCCTCTCTCTGATAAAACGCATAACTCTGGCACAGAGACACAAAGTGATTGCTATAGTTCAGGTAGAGAAGGGGGAAAACAGTAGCAATTCTTTAAAACGACATCATTTGACAGACGACAGAAAAGGGTCATCCCGATCAAGTCCCAAATGGGGCAGCTTGTCACTGTTGTCTTACACTTTCCTAACAAATTTTTTTCCGACGAACGGAGCACAACCCCAGCCGGACAGGCGTGGTGCGGTGTGATCAGGGGCCACTAGACCTGGTCCGCAGTACCAGCAGGCATGCCGACCACCGGCGCCGAATGCTCGGTGCCGCGGCGCCCGCGGTGACTGGGTCACACAGCGAGCTTCGATCGCACGATTTACACCGGCGCGACGGCGTGCACCACCAATGCACCCAACAAACTAAACACGGTCAGTACTTGGTGACGCAGACCCCCATTGAGCAACAAAGAGTGGCGTCCCGCGCCGCGGCGTGTAAGGGACGGGTGTGCCGTGTCGCAGGTGCGCCGGGCCGCCGCCGCCGCTGACCGGCGCGTCGACTATGGCATGCTGAAAGAGCCGCGCAGCCCAACACACAAATGTATCTGCAACGACAGGGAGATCACAGTCAGCGTGACGAACGTCAGGGACCGTCGCGCGCGTGCGCACGCTTGCATGGCACGCCGCTGACTGTTTCTGGGCACGTGGATCATGTTTTACATGGAGAAAGGGAAGAACGTCAGCGGGCACAACAGCTGAAAACAGTTTGATTGGAACAGGGCAGCGTGCGTTAGGGTGATGGTACATGGTATCTTTCAATATCGCCAACTTCTGACCATACCAGAGCATCTTTTCCGAACCTTTCCTAGAAATGTTTTGAAAGAAACATTTCTAGCTTGAGCTAAAAGCGTCCACCATTCCCCGTCCTTCTCTAATTTTCGAGATCGTTCTGGCATGCTTCTAATTCCGTAAAGTACACCCTGACGCTTCCATTTTGAAATTAGTAAGTCGAAAATAGGGTCAAAATTCAAGCAGCACCAGGCAGGAAGGATTCACTCTAATTATCGCTTTCCCGGAAGCTTTGAAGCGTCAGACAGCGATTTCAAAGCGACGGTCGTTATCAAAGTCCAATCACATGTAATGGCGATGGTTGAACAGAGCAAATTAAATGAAATCCTCGTGAGTAGATTTGCGCAAGTGGATACAAACATAACAGTAATTCATGGAGCCACTTAGGCCTATTGGAAAACAGAAAATTCAAACTACAGCAGCCGCAGCGACGACCAGAACGGAACAAAGCGCCCCATTAGCAATGTTCCCTTGTTGACCTACGGGATGGAACGGCGAACCGCTACCTTTCCGCACTCATCTAGTTTCGCTACAGGTAATTGGCCAAATAATGCATCTTGCGCAGCGGAATGGTAACACAATGCGGTAGTACAATCCCGTAAGTCTTCGGGAACGTCTTATGGGAAATCAGTCACCAGTCACCCTGTCAGACATCAATTTTTAACCGAATGACGTAACGCCTTACGACCACAAATCAGCTTCAACGAACCAAAATGAGAATTGACCCCTCTGAACTTTTATGTATGTGAATTGGATACGTATAGTATTTGATTTTCACAATGGACATCGACGGCTTCGTAGTAGACATGAAACGTGGAAAAGAGTTACGAAAGACACCACACATACTGACAACTCCTGGTTCCAGACAAACCATCGTAAACCACACAACGGTTTATCACTCCTAGCCCAGCCCCTGATTTGGGGGCTATCTCATCAGTCACCGCCTGGACCCAGCCAATCCACCTCAGCCAGTCCCCATGCTGTGTCCCATCGCAGCCGGTCGCCAACGCGACACGCGCAAGACGCCACTTAACTCGCTCCGACGTTCCAGTTACCTTAATGTATCTCCGACTGCATTATTTAGACGGCAAAGAAGGATTGGGCCGGCGCGTCCCCCGGGGCGCGCGCCGTCTTGTTTATACAGGGGTGGCTGGGCAGCACGGCACTGCCGACCGCCCCACTCCCGACTGGGGAACGGGTGACGAGCGGCGGCAGCACCAACGGGTACGGACGGGCGGACCTGACACTGCACCGCAGCACCAACGAGTACGGACGGGCGGACCTGACGCTGCACCGCAGCACCAACGAGTACGGACGGGCGGACCTGACACCGCACCGCAGCACCGGCGAGTACGGACGGGCGGACCTGGCGCTGCACCGCAGCACCAACGAGTACGGACGGGCGGACCTGACACGCCACCGCAGCAATGACGAGTACGGACGGGCCGACCTGACACTGCACCACAGGAATGACGAGCACGGACGGGCGGACCTGACGCTGCACCGCAGCAACGGCGAGTACGGACGGACGGACCTGACACTGCACCGCACCACCAGCGAGTACGGACGGGCGGACCTGACACCGCACCGCACCACCGGCGAGTACAGACAGACGGACCTGACACTGCACCGCAGCAACGGCGAGTTCGAAAAGACAGATCTGAGAATGCATCGCAACACCGGCGAGTACGGACGGGCGGACCTGACACTGCACCGCAGTAACGGCGAGTACCGACGGGCGGGCCTGACACTGCACCCAACACCACGTCTGCCAGCACCCAATGAACGGATTTTATGGAACATTGAATCGAGGCACGTGAGCGAATTGCCGTGTTGTCGGAAGGACTTAGAGATAGTGATGCTTCATTTTCAATATCTGTGCCTAGCCGCAGTTTGATATAATCTGATGTAAAAAGACCTGGGCTGTGTAAAATACGGAACATGTATGCAAGAAAAATGTGTGTATAATCTAACGAGCCGAGGGAGGGACAGAGAGAAAGAGAGAGGAAGAGAGAGATAGCATGGGAGAGAGCATGAGAGAACACGAGAGAGAGCGTGAGAGAGAGCATAAATGAGAGAGCATGAGGAAGAACACGACGGGTGAACGGGAAAAGGGTAACGGGAGAGATGGGCGCGGGGAGAGACGTGAGAGGAGACAGGAACAGAGATGGAGACAGAGAGGAAGCGGGGGCAAAAACAGGGACACATGGGATGCAGAGGATTTAGGCATCAGTAGGCACGGCGGCCATACGCGTGACAATGTGATCAGTGTGACCAGTGTTGTGTGATCAGTGATCAGTGTGATCAACAACAGTGTGATCAGGTCAGTGATACAGGGACGATTCGAATATGTTAAGTGTGGGAAGCAGTGGCCTCGAGCACCGCCTAACAAAGCCTGTGTACAGCGGACATCTTCAACGGCGATAGAGATCCCAAGAATCTAAAAACGCAGGCCGACTACGGTACCCCCAAATGCATACTTAACATATTCATACGCGATACCCCCGTTTGCGCTTCCAGTGAACTGAACCCAACGAACCCTGACAAATCGGCGGCATTCAGGGGCAATCCCCGGCCCGTAAGCATTAGTGGTTGATGTGACGCCAGCGGACGTGCATGTGAACGGCGGCTCCACATCTGTCGTCGACGAGAGCCAGCAACAGCTCAGCGACACTGTCGTCGTTTGGACGTGCTTTACAGGGGGACATTTGTGGCGGTTCGGCATCGCAGGGCGTTCTGGATGGGCGACATCGGCGATGACGCCCGGTCTCGCGCAGCGTTCTCCCGTCCCCTCCGTCCGTCCCCGACAACGGGCGCGACGACCACGTCGGACGACTGCCGCCGTCGGACATGCAAAAGGAACGTTTTATTCAATCGGCTCAAATGCTGCTATGGGTCCTAGAAGACATCAAGGACCCAAATGGAAATGGACAAAATCCCTAAGTGAGCCAAACTGCTGCTTGTGCTCTTTGGGAAATTGAATACCCGATGGACGAAACAAATTTACAAGATTGAGAACCCTTTAGAATTCCCTCGTAAATGTCAGCGAAATTAAAGTCGACTTTATTGACGAAATCGTTAAGGCGCAACATTAGAATAATAAAAAACACGTCCGAATAATAAAACTTTAATCGATGCACTTTGCCAAATTGCTGAGATAATTTCTAAGTCGTGTTCTGCCCAGATATACGAGGTGCCTCTTCTCCAATTGAGTTCGAAGACGGAAACAGGCCGAGCGACTCAATACCACACGGGCTAGCGCACCGCACCAGCCGTCGGAGAGGCGGTGCGAGCTGCGGGCCTCTCTCCTCTGCCCGGGCTAGCGCACCGCGCCAGCCGTCGGAGAGGCGGTGCGAGCTGCGGGCCTCCCTCCTCTGCCCGGGCTAGCGCACCGCGCCAGCCGTCGGAGGGGCGCTGCGAGCTGCGGGCCTCTCTCCTCTGCTCTCCCCGCTCTCCCCCTTTGCAGAACACCAATGCGTCGAGTGCAGCAGCCGCTCCTATACTGCGCGGGTCTCAACTAAGAACGTAATTTTTTTCTCCAAAACATTAGCCTGCAGCCGAGCCAATCACGCCGAACTCGTGATCCAGCCCGCAAACACCCAATATGCTACGATGCTGATCCGCAATGATCCCCGAAAGTACGAATTTATTGCAATTGCGTCTTATCATTTCACCTTAATTTCCGATCTATATACAAGTGTGCATAAAATGGTATGCAACTGTCATCTGTACATTGCATGTTACTAACACCAGTGATGTCGCTCAGAGACCAACAATCAAAATACCTGCACAATATAATTTGTAATGCACCAAAGTAGATCTTAAGCACCGTGATAGCAATTTCAACTACAAAGGAATGGGTAAAGGATAAAAATGAAATTCGTCTTTCATCAAAATGCTCCAAAGATTTTACCCTTCTTTTTCATATAAATAGACCACAGTTCACTTCCTCTAAAATTGCACGCATGAGCTGATAGCTTTGCACTGACAGGGTACACAATGTTGGATGTTTCAAGTCATGGGAGGTGTCAATTCATTACAATGTACGTAAGCTCAATCATTCTTCGACTGCGCCCCAATTGCCAAAATATCAAATTTCTCATTGAGGAACCGCAGCCAGCCACCTATATGGTGTTTGTTTTCCTTAAGTAGATACATCATGCAACCATTCCACATACATAAAAACCACATGGCAGCTTTGAAATGACCTACATTTCTCTATTACCCCTATCCACGTTCCAGCCCACAGTCATTGCGCGGCTGTATGTGATGTTGGATGAAAGCCACGTGAAGGCAAGGGTGGTAATACTATTTTGTCCACGAACATTAACCCCTCCAGCGACATCATAGGCATTTAGCAATGCCGTCAAAAACCGTGATATATTCCCACATCCTGCAAAAAATTATATGAAAAGAAACAAAAGTTGTAAAAACATTGCGAGGACCTCTTTCTGCATCTTAGAAAACCAGCAGAATGCACATATTGATCGTTATCGAGTGCCTCATTGACGTCATATGTTCACATTTTTTTCTACACGAAACTGCATACGGATAGAATACTGGAAAAATTAACAAATAAGACAGAACAAAAGCCTGCGTGAAAATATGCACAAATTAGTAACAGTCGCAGTCAGGGAAAACCGTATTGTGCTAGTGTCCTGTATTTGTGCTGGCAAATCGCCTCCTCTGCAGGCATAGATACACAAACTCCACGCCACCACTTGTTTTAACTTCGACGACTGTTGGCCAATTTGAT